GGTAATTTTCTTGCTACTAGATGTGGGCTTTTCTGCCGAGAAGTTCCTTTAGCATTTGTCATAAAGCTGGTCTGTTGGTGCTGAATTCTTTTAGATTTTGCTTGTCTGTAAAGCTTTTGATTTCTCCATCAAATCTGAATGAGAGCCTTGATAGGTAGATTATTCTTGGTTGTAGGTTTTTCCCCTTTCATCACCTTAAATATATCATCACTCCCTTCTGGCCTGCAGAGTTTCTGCTGAAAAATCAGTTGATAACCTTACAGGAGTTCCCTTGTATATTATTTGTTGCCTTTCCCTCATTGCTTTTAATATTTTCTCTTTGTCTTTAATTTTTGTCAGTTTCCTTACTATGTTTCTCAGCATGTTCCTCCTTGGGTTTAATCCTGTATGGGATTCTCTGCACTTACTGGACTTCGATGACTGTTTCCTTTCCCATGTTAGGGCATTTTTCAGCTATTATCTCTTCAAATATTTTCTCAGGCCCTTTCTCTCTTCTTCTTGGACTCCTATAATGCAAATGTTGGTGCGTTAAATGTTGTCCCAGAGGTCTCTTAAACTGTCCTCGTTTCTTTTCATTGTTTTTTTCTTTATTCTGTTCAGCAGCAGTGATTTCCACATTTCTGTCTTCCAGCTCACTTATCCGTTCTTCTGCCTCATTTATTCTGCTATTGATTTCTTTTAGTGTATTTTTCATTTCAGTTATTGTATTGTTCATCTCTGTTTGTTCTTTGTATCTTCTAACTCTTTGTTAAACATCTCTTATATCTTCTCAGTCTGTGCCTCCATTCTTTTTCTGAGATCTTGGATCATCTTTGCTATCATTACCCTGAATTCTTTTTCTGGAAGGTTGCCTATCTCCACTTAATTTCATTGTTTTTCTGGGGTTTTACCTTGTTCCTTCATCTGGAATATACTCCTTTGTTGTCTCATTTTATCTAACTTTCTGTGATTGCGGTTTCCACAGGCTGCAGGGTTGTACTTCCTCTTGCTTCTGGTGTCTGCCCCTGGTGGGTGAGGCTGGTCTAAGAGGCTTGTGCAGGCTTTCTGGTGGGAGGGACTGATGCCTGCCTACTGGTGGGTGGAGCTGAGTCTTGTCCCTTGTTGGGCAGGCCTGTGTCAAGAGGTGTGTTTAGAGGTGGCCATGGGCTCAGGAAGATTTTAGACAGCCTGTCTACCAATGGGCGGGGCTGTGTTCCCACCCTGTTAGTTGTTTGGCCCGGGGCATCCCAGCACTTGCACCTACCGACTGTTGGGTTGGGCCAGGTCTTGTTGTCTAAATGGTGGCCTCCAGGAGAGCTCACACTAATGAGTACTCCCTGGTATCTCTGCCACCAGTGTCCTTATCCCCACAGTAAGCCACAGCTGCCCCCCACCTCCACAGGAGACCCTCCAAGACCAGCAGGTAGGTCTGGACCAGGCTCCTATGAAGTTACTGCCTTTTCCTGGGTCCTGGTGTGCACGAGACCTGTGTGCATCCTCTAAGAGTGGCATTTCTGTTTCCACCAGTCCTGTGGAGTTCCTGCGATCAAGCCCTGCTGGCCTTCAAAGCCAAATGCTGTAGGGGCTCCTCCTTCCAATGCCAGACCCCCAGGCTGGGGAGCCTGGCCCGGGGCTCAGAACTCTCACTCCTGAGGGAGAACCTCTGCGTTACAATTTCCAGTTTGTGGGTAACCCACCTGGTGGGTATTGGATATGATTGTATCGCAGATGCATTCCTCCTACCATCTTGTGGAGCTTCTTCTTTGTCTTTGGATGTAGAATATCTTTTTTGGTAGTTTCCAGTCTTTTTTGTCGATGGTTGTTCAGCAGTTATTTGTGATTTTAGTGTTTTTGTGAGAGGAGGTAAGCTCAACTCCTTCTACTCTGCCGCCATGTCTCCAATCCTCCTTTACCTTCAAACTGAGAGTTGTGGTGGATGAGCTTTTTGCCTTCCCCAGATGGTTGAAGCTTACAATTTTTGTTTTTGGAAACCCTACCGCCTCCTTATTTCTATTATTATTTTTGCAAGAAAGGTATAAAGAGAGTTGGAGTGGAGGTGAGATTTGTGATTGAGAAAGCCCTGGACTCCCTTCTCCATCTTTCACCTCTTTCTCTCTGATTGGTTCCTGTCTAGCAGCACATTGAAGCAGGAGATGGTTCTGAATTTTACACTTTAAAAGGATGAATTTTTGATGTGGAATTTTGTATCAATAAGTGTTGTTTTAAACATCTTTAGACATATATAAACATATGCCTATGAGAAGTCCACAGTGATATCTCTTAGATTGCTATGTTTAAAAGTTTTCTTAACAGCAAGAGAAAAAAAAAGCAAGGGAATTATGTTTCTCACCAACTATGGGAGGTCCAGTGCTATAATCACATTTTACTCTTTGTTGCTCTCTTGCATCTCCTTATTACTTCAAACTCTGAAGGTACAATGACACTCAATTAGGAGTTTGGAATTTCAAAGGTACACACTGTCCACTAACAAATAGATTTTTAAAACTGCTTGAATTCTCCTGTGATGGTTTTTTTTTTTTTTGCGGTACGCGGGCCTCTCACTGTTGTGGCCTCTCCCGTTGCGGAGCACAGGCTCTGGACGCGCAGGCTCAGCGGCCATGGCTCACGGGCCCCGCCGCTCGGCGGCATGTGGGATCTTCCCGGACCGGGGCACGAATCCGTGTCCCCTGCATCGGCTGGCGGACTCTCAACCACTGCGCCACCAGGGAAGCCTTCCTGTGATGTTTTAAGCACAAAGCTGTGAGGGCACACTCTTGTCGCATTAAAGGCAAGTCTTGGGCATGTTTTTCTTTGTCACCCAGAGCATCATGGAGGGTCAGGACCCTGGTCAGATTTATCATTGGTGCCTTTCCAGCTTTCTTTTCTGTTTCATTCTACTGCAGTGCTCCCTTTTTTCCATGTCCTAGGACCCTAGGGCTCTTTTGTGATCTTCTGACTGAATCCTATACCAGTCCTCCTCTCTCTTATACCACGACACCCCCATACTTAGAATTATCCCGTTTTACCCTCATCAGAACTGTTTATGGCTGTCTCTGCTTTGAATTCTGATTAATTATTGACATTAAAAATGTTCATGTTAACGCTGAAGGTGAAAATTTCTAAGTTCTTAAGCATGCATTCGTTTTAAGAAGGAATGTGTTTCTTAGGTTTGTTCACTGAAAAGGTCTGGAAACAGTGACAAACTCAGTAACAATGAACCTCCCTCAGGCATCTCTAAGAACATTTTCTACTTAAAGGAACCAGAGCACTTTGGAGGAATGTCTGATTCCAAATCTGGGGCAGGAAGCATTTAAAATCAGTACAGAACATGTTAGAAAGTAAGGCAGCTATAAATGATTACTGGGCGCATGTTGAAAGGACCCAGGAGCCAATTAGAAAGGTCCCCAGTGACTAAAGATAGGAACATCTGGGCATTAAAAAGAAAAATAACTGGGATGGACTGGAGCACATCACATGTGTTAAATGCAAGAGTTCCTTATGTTACTTATAAACAAAAGGTTACCTGTGGAGGTTGCAAGGAAACCAATTCATTAATTTGAAAACTGGCAAATAAAGGGAAAGACCCAAGGATTTATTCTACATTTCTTATATGACTTTTACCTCAGGATAACCAAATAAGTAAAACAGAAAAAAATACTACCATCTTGCAACCCCTAATGAAACAGTCACCAATGTCTGCATAAAACATTAGATGAAAGGTGATGGAGAACTTTATAAGGATGAGTCACACTGATAGTATCTACTGCTCAATCTTAATATCACAAAAAGACAAAATCGATGTGTACCTTAAGATGTCATACGGTAGGGTGTACACAGTACCGCCTATGACATTTTCTTGCTAAAAATTCTAACCTGAATCTGATGAAACCTCAAAAATCTGTTTACAAGAAATAGGGGAATTAGAAGAATATGTTAAATAACACCATGGGGAGGCAATCAGCAAAACCTAAAGCGAGGGAAATTCGAACTAATGATCTAGTTTCTTCAACAAATAAATGACAGGAAAAAAAGGAGGGAGAGACCTATATGGCATGCATCAACCGTATTCAGTGTGTGCACCTATTTAGAATAAATCCACTGTAAAAAAAATTGTGAGTCTGTTGGAGAAATTGAATCATAATGTCATTTGATCATAATGTGCTGATATCAAAGGAATATTTTTTAGTTATGTTAATGGTATTCTGGATATGATTTTGAAGTTATTATTGTTTTGAGATAAGTACTGAAGTGTTTATCGATGAACTAATAGGTTGTTGGGGATTTGCTTTAAAATAATCCGGTTGGTGGGAGGGAGTGGGTGGGATTCAGAGGACACAATATTGGCCATGTATTGATAATTGCTGAAACTGGGTGGTGAATACTTAGTGATTTGTAATACTATTCTCTATAGGTGCTTAGAGTTTAGACTTTAAAAATTAACTGCATACATATACTGTATATGATAACATAGTTTTATACATTTGTATGTATATAAATATATATACAGTTTTTACATTATATATAAATTGTGACTGTATCTAAAGTTGATTTCTAATTGGAGAATTATGTCTTGGAAGGAACAAGGCTTTCTAAAGAGCCCCTTGCTGGCCATTGCAGCCCCCTACCCAGAGTTTATCAGAACAGTATTGGCAACTTGGCATCTTGTTTTAGCACTTCTGGGAGGTTGCTGATCTTTACCTCAATGGCCAAGGGTCATAATCCATAATATTCCCACCAGAATCATTATTGTTATGATAAGACACGTGAGAAGTGCTTTTATAAAACTTACAGCTGATAAAGTGTTTATGTTGTAAATTCGTAATTTCCTAGTCAGCAAAACATGCATATTTTAAGATAGCACTAAGCATAGCACCTTAAATATAGTACATGTATCTTACATATAGAGTAGGATATTCATTTTTAAGTGAGTTAATCTTTATAAATGAAATTGTATCTTGCAGGTATTTCTCATTTTGAGACATCGATTTCCTTTCTCTGAAACATTTTTCTCTCTTTTCTAGGAAGTTATTTTAGGTTCTGTGAAAGAGATGCTTTCTCATCTCTAAGGCTTACCAGAAACTCTGATTTGAAGAGAATAAATGGATTTTGCAACAAACCCCAGGAAAGTCCAAAGCCTCCAACCCGTAAGTTTTTATTAGTCTTTCCAGTTATGGACTAGGCAGCTCCCAAAGACTAGAATAACTTGGAATGAAAAGAACCTAGGGGCTTCACTCGTGGCACAGTGGTTAAGAATCCACCTGCCAATGCAGGGGACACGGGTTCGAGCCTTGGTCTGGGAAGATCTCACATGCCGCAGAGCAACTAAGCCCGTGCGCCACAACTGCTGAAGTCCACGTGCCTAGAGCCTGTGCTCCACAACAAGAGAACCCACCGCAATAAGAAGCCCGTGCACCGCAACGAAGAGTAGCCCCTGCTCGCCACAACTACAGAAAGATCTCTCACAGAAATGAAGACCCAACCCAGCCAAAAATAAATAAATAAATTTATTAAAGAAAAGAAAAAAAAGAACCTAAAAGAGAGGTGGTCACAGGGGTCCCTATATCATACCCTATCATGTAGTTCAGGCCTCCCAAATTGTGCTTATATTAGCTGTGCTTACATGTGGCAGTGATTTCTTCATTTTTCTCGTTTGTCATTTTCATCTCTTGCCTCAGGGATTTGACTGGAGCTTTTTATAGGACTATAGATGCACCAAAGTAAATAGTGGTCTAGAAATCATCTTTTAAGGAACCTCAAAGATGAACCAAATCAAAAAATGATGTTTTGGGTAAAATATAATTAGGGCTACGCACTGGCTTGTACATTGACTTTAGCCATGTTTAGTCCTATCCCTAACTCCAAACCCTGTCATTGTCACCACTGTGGAAGAAGGAGCATAATATATAAACTGTAGGGTCCCAGGAACTATTTGCTTGTTCCTTCTTCATGGCAGTGCACTAGGGCTAGGCAGGTATTGGTGAGTGGAAAAGAATTATTCTCAAAGAATATCTATCAAGAGCTTCAGAATGTTTATACCCTTTGACTTGGTATTTCACTTCTGGAAATCTATCCTAAGGAATAATCCCTGTATGTGGAAAAAGCTTTGAATGTAAAGATGTTCCTATTTATATATATATATATATATATATATATATGGAAAATGAGAAAGTAGTCTAAATGTTAAGTAATCTGGGAATGATTAATTATATATGTTAGATCTACTTGATGAGGTTGTGCAGCTGTTGGAAATAGGGCTTATAAATACCGCATACTGGCATGGAAAGTGTTTGTCATCATGTTAATGAACAAAGCAGGATACAAAATTTTATATTGTGCGTAAGCACAAGCATGGTACATATAGAAATTACGTATATATACATATGTATGGGGATAAGACTTAGGAAACACACCAAAATAAAAATATAGTGATCATGCTATGACAGGAGAATTAGGGGTGGTTTTTAAATTTTTCTTTTTTCACATCTATACTTTCTGAATTGTCTTTAATGAGTATATAGTACATAAAATGGAAAAAAAATTTAAAAAACTCTAGAGAAAGTTGTGCCAAGCACTGGAATGGTTAAAAGATAAAAATCACAGCAGTTCTATTTCTGTACTTCTAAACCTCTTTTCTTGACTTTGGTTCTTTATGGATTTTTTTCCAAGTGACCTTCCTGTTCCTTTTGCTGTTGCCTTCTGGTTAAGTGAAAGGTGCAGCTTAAGCAAAGGTGATGTGTATGTAGTCAAGGAGATGGTCTGTCTGCAAGAGAGATGTAGGCATTATATGGAAGTTGGATGAGATTATCTCCAAGGTCCTTTCTAACCCTGACATTCTGTGATTCCCTAGATTTTTCTGCTCCTTGCCTTCCGTGACTTCCCCTTCCTTTGAAAGGCTCTCTTATAGTCTATGGTTCTACCTTTCTTGTTCATTTTCATCTTTGGCTGCTCTGTTTTCCTCTGCTGCCTCTTTCCCCTGTCTCCTTTCTGGGTCATGCCCCAAGGCTCAGCCCCTGGTCTTCTATGTTTCTCTATCATCCTCACTGGTTCTCCCTTTGCACTAGTGGTTATCTCCACTCCCAACTTATTAATGAAACCTACTCAGATGGCATGAATTTAAGTCAGTAGATCTAAAATGGCATTCATGCTTTTTCCTCTCCTGACTGGTTCTTTTCACAATCTCCTTATTTTGGTTAACAATACTGTTATTGTCTTACTCATCCAAGTTTGAGGTTCTTCATGAATCCTTCTTTGTCTTCATCTCCAGATTCTTTCAGTCATCATCATATTGACTTTGTTGTCTCTCTTCCTGCTGTTATAACTCTAGTTCTGACTATATCACCTCACCCTTGTATTGTAATACCTTGTATTATAATCTTCTGTTTGGACTTGTTACCCACTCTGTCCTATCCTTTTGCTTTCCATCCATTATGCAGATTAAATTTTCTAAAATGTTAACTTCTTCCTTGCTTCAAAGTGTACAGTAGTTCTTGAATCAGGTCTAAAAATCTTAGCCTGCCATTCAAGTTCTTTTATAATCTGATTTTACCTACAAACTTTTTTTTTAATTCTACTGAAGTCAAACAGGCTCCTCACTGTTCTCTTTTTAGTTCATCCTTCTCACCTTTATAACTTTGTTCATGGTGTTCTTTCAGCTTTCAATGGCTATGGCTTATATTGGGAAATAATGCTTTTATTTTACTTCAGTCCTCACAGAATTTTTGAATCTCATTTAAGAAATGAGCAACCTAAGAAATTCCATCCAAACAAAGCTCTAATTAGCTTGAGATTTCTCAATGATTCTGTTTAGCGAATAGCTAAAAAGCACAAAAAGCATTTTAATGTTGCTAAATTTGAGAGTCAGTCTCATATAAGTAAGATATCTTCTCTTGTTTTCCTCATAGACATTTACAGCCACAGAGTGCCATTGCATAAGCCTACGGATTGGGAGAAGAAGATCCTAATATGGTCAGGTCGCTTCAAAAAGGAAGATGAAATCCCAGAGACTGTCTCGTGAGTGCTGAATTTAGGGTTGTAAGCAGCTTTTATTTTTCAGTAGTCTATTTTAAGGGAAAAGCAGTTCCTCTGAGTCTGACTACTTAAAACCTTTCAACCAAATTTTAAAACAGTTTCCACTTCTCTAAATGTTTCCTCTTTGGCAAGTACCTGGAATAATAACAGTGCTGGGAAATCTGTGTGTTATCATTGATACCTTATGTAGTGCCTAGTGAAGAGCTGTTAGATACTCTGAAGTCAGCTGATTTGATATCCTCTCCTAGCTACAGAAAGTGACTAAATTAGTTTTTCTTTCTTACATTTCATTGTTAGTGTATAGAAATGCAACAGATTTCTGCATATTAATTTTGTATCCTGCAACTTTACTGAGTTCACTGATGAGCTCTAGTAGTTTTCTGGTGGCATCTTTAGGATTTTCTATGTATAGTTATCATGTCATCTGCAAACAGTGACAGTTTTACTTCTTCCTTTCCAACTTGGATTCCTCTTATTTCTTTTTCTTCTCTCATTGCTTTGGCTAGGACTTCTAAAACTATGTTGAATAAAAGTGGCAAGAGTAGGCATTCTTATCTTGTTCCTGACCTTAGAGGGAATGTTTTCAGCTTTTCACTGTTGAGTATGATGTTAGCTGTGGGTTTTTCATATATTGCCTTTATTATTTTGAGGTATGTTCCCTTTATGCCCAGTTTCTGGAGAGTTTTTATCATAAACTGATACTAAATTTTTTTAATTAATTAATTTATTTATTTTTGGCTGCGTTGGGTCTTCGTTGCTGTGTGTGGGCTTTCTCTAGTTGTGGCGAGCAGGGGCTACTCTTCATTGCAGTGCACGGGTTTCTCATTGCAGTGGCTTCTCTTGTTGCGGAGCACAGGCTCTAGGCACATGGGCTTCAGTAGTTGTGGTATGCGGGCTCAGTAGTTGTGGCTCGTGGGCTCTAGAGCGCAGGCTCAGTAGTTGTGGCACATAGGCTTAGTTGCTCCGTGGCATGTGAGATCTTCCTGGACCAGGGCTCGAACCCATGCCCCCTGCATTGGCAGGTGGATTCTTAACCACTGTGCCACCGGGGAAGTCCTGCTACTTTCATTTGTCTTTCTGTCTGCTGTTCTGTTTGGGTGATCTCCATTATTTTATCTTCCAGATCACTTATTCGTTCTTCTGCATTATTTAGTTTGCTCTTTATTGACTTTAGCCTGGTTTCACCTCAGCAGTTGAGTTGTCTGATTTTGATTGGCTCCCCTTTATAGTTTCTAAGTCCTTGTTACAGTGATCTGCATTTCTAGTGATTGCCTTTCTTAATTCCTCCAGCATTTTTATTACCTCACTTTTGAACTCGGGTTGTTAGACTGGAGAGGTCTGTTTCTTCAGTCTAGAGAAACAAACCAACTTGTTTGTTCTTTCAGGAGATTTCTCTTGATCTTTTAATTGGGAATGGTTCCTATGTTTTTTCATTTTACTTATATTTCTCTGACTCTATGAATTTAAGGGAAACAGTTATCTACTGTGGTCTTGAAGGGCTATTTTTATGTGGGAATGACCCTGTGTAGCCTGTGTGAGTCCAGTATTTTTGGTGTGAGGGCTGTTTTTGGTATGGATGTCTGCCACATCTTTCCTCAATGTGTGTTGGCTGTTATCTCCTTCATAGTGGTGTGATTTGTGTTGTGGTAAGCAGAGTCTGCACTGGATCTTGTGTTGAGTGGGACCTTCTCTTTGCTCTATTGTTGTCACAGCCCTGTCATGGGCAGGGTCTGTTCCCCAGCTGTTGGAAGAGAAGCCCCCAGATCCGGTTCTAAGCTATGATGTGAGGTAGGCAGGAGTGGAGTGCTCCGGCTGGGAAAGGAGCTGCTGTGTATTCCCCCCCAGGAGCTGACTACCCAGACATGTGCTCTGTGACGTCGCCTGCCACCCACTGTGCAGGCTCACAAGTACACTGTTGTTGGCGTGGCCCTCAGCCCTGCCTCTGCTGTGGAGACACCGGTATTGGCTCTGATTTCAGCCGCGCTTCTGTGTGTGCGCACCCACGAAGCCTGTTGCTCCTGGCACAGGACCCGTCTCAGCTACAGGAGAGCCAGTAATCAGCTCAGATTATCCCCAGGCGCTGCCACAGGCATAAATTCGCCGAAGTTGCACACCCGCAGGGAATCGCCTCAGATTTCAGCCCTACCTCTGTATGCGGGCAACCACCCAGCACTTGCACACTCCCAGAACTCATAGCGGCCGAGCCACACCCACTGCGCGCTCACCAAGAATGAGGCTGCTGTGGCAAGTCCCTGCCCCTACCTTAGCGTGCTGACAGTGGGGCTCCGGTGATGGGCGTGGGCTGTGTCCTCCACACACTTCCAGTTGCAGCCTGGACTACACCTGAGGCCCTTCGGGCTGCCTCCGCACAAACTGAGTCTTCTCCCCGGGTTTGTCTGCTGAAGCCCAAGTTTCAACCCTGAGCTGCTGCACACACACCAAGAGGCGCGCATCTTGGGCTGGGAAGTGCAGCAAGATGGCCAGGGCCACCTGTGCTGGTCTCTCTCTGTCCTGCCTACTGTAAGCCGGCTGCTTCACTCTCCTCTGAGGCTTACTGGGTGTCCCAGTGGACCTACCAGTCAGCTAAGGGGCCTCCCAGTGTGAGGGACCTTTTCCGCTTTCACGGCTCCCTCCTGAGGGTGCAGGTCCTGTCCCAATTCCCTTTTTTTTTCTTTCTTTTGTCCTACCCAGTTATTTGGTGATCTTTCTTGCAGCTTTAGTTGTATGAGATCTTCTGCCAGTGTTCGGTGGGTGTTCTGTGAGAATTATTCCAAATGTAGATGTATTTTTGATGTCTCTATGGGAGGATGTGAGTTCTATAATACATCCTTCTATCTTCATCTACACCCCGTTACTGTGTTTCATATACAAAGTGAATTGTGAAAATGCTCCATCCTCCGCAAAGTCCTGTATGATCTCTAGGCCCCATCTCCTTTTTTATATGTATAGGCACTACTCTACTCCTGATTTGTGAGACACAGATTTATATCCTTCTGACAACTTCAGAAAGGGAAATTTTAACTTTCTCTCACGATCCCATTGTATTACTAGGTTTGAGATGCTCGATGCTGCAAAGAACAAGGTCCGGGTGAAGATCAGCTATGTAATGATTGCCTTGACAGTGGCAGGATGCATCTTCATGGTTATTGAGGGCAAGAAGGTGAGAGTGGACTTCCCGTCTATCTTTGTGTATTTTCCACAAAAAAACCTAGCGGAAGTCAGGGGTTGGCCCTTGTATTTATTTTCTGTGATGGGGAGGCTACTTCCTACATGAGAAATGATAAGAAACAAAATAAAACATAGTAGGAACAAACCTGAGATATGATGCCTGGAGATAAATAGCAAATCCTAACTTTGGCAAGGTGAAGGACTAAATTAGTTTTGGTTAAGTAAAAAAAAGTGTTTAGTTATCACAGATGTCATAAGTAATGTAAAACAAGTAGTATGACACTGGCATACTTACTAATAACTCCTTGCATGTCTGTAAAGCACTCTCATTTTTTTATTGATCCTCACTCTGCTCTTGGTGAGTGTTCTTATCACTGTTCTTTACTTGATGTTCAAACTGGGCCATATATCTAAGCTCCTAAGTGGTACATAGGAATTCAGGTCCAGAAATCCACTCATTGTTAACATCTGTGTTACTGTCTTCCAAGTACCTTGCGGTTATCTTATTTAAACCTCACAACACCACTGCAAGATAGATAATTTGATTAGGACCTCATTTATAGACGAGGAAACATAGCTTAGAAACCTTTAGTAACTTACCCAAGTTCACACACATCTCCCTAATGGCAGAGCCACAGTTTGAACCTAGACCTGTCTAATTGAGGTGATGGTAAAAGTGCTCCCAGTTATTGATTGCTCATTATGTAACAGGTATTGTTAAACTTATTTAATGACCACAATAATTCTAAGAGCCTAAGAGGTAGGTTCTCTTATCATCCATGTTTTGTAAAAGAGGAACCTGAAGCTTAAAGATGTTAAATAATTTTCCCAATGTCACATAGCTAATAAGTGGCAAGACAAAAAAGTGGAGCCAAGTTTGCCAGGTACCAAACTGCATATATACTGTCTTGTGATTAAAATAGTTATTTTTATATGCAGCAGTACTGGCCAAGGCGTTACTTTAACACCATGCATAATTCTATATATCACAGCTTCCATGTGGAAAGAGATGTCTCATATCTATTGTCAGATATTTAAAGGGTTCTTCTGCAAACCCAGTGGTAACTGACATCCTTATCCCCAGTGAGTCCAGAGTAAAAGAAATGAACTTCTGGCTCTCTTTAGAGTCTTGGAATAGAAGATACTGACCATTTAGGCTGATGTTATGGGAGCACGAAGGGCAAGTGTGGAGGCCTGGGTGAATTTCTCTTGACTACTCTGTTCCTGCCCCACTTCAGTATTTTTTCTGTCTCCCTCTTTGACTTTTCATGCTTAGCTCTCAGACTGAACCTGCAGAAGCATGTAGACGGGACATAGGGCTTTCTAGAATTCTGAGAAATCTGCATTGCTTTTGTCTACTTGATTATACTGAGTTTATTTATTTTTTAATAAATTTATTTATTTGTTTTTGGCTGCATTGGGTCTTCGTTGCTGTGCACGGGCTTTCTCTAGTTGCGGCGAGTGGGGCCTACTCTTCATGTGGTGTGTGGGCTTCTCATTGCGGTGGCTTCTCTTGTTGCGGATCATGGGCTCTAGGTGTACGGGCTTCAGTAGTTGTGGCTCGTGGGCTCTAGAGCACAGACTCAGTAGTTGTGGCACATGGGCTTAGTTGCTCCGTGGCATGTGGGATCTTCCCGGACCAGGGCTCGAACCCATATCCCCTGCATTGGCAGGCGGATTCTTAACCACTGTGCCACCAGGGAAGTCCTACTAGCTGAGTTTAAATACTCCAGAAACAAATCACTTCTGAGGTCTTCCCTAGCCTCATCCAAGGGTATACGCTGTATACTTTAAAGAGTTCCTCTCCTGTTCTATACCATAAAAATTTTTCTCTTTTATGGAACTATCCGTTTCTAATGGGTAAATGCTACTGGAATGAAGAACTTTTGAACTTAATGTGATTTAGAAGACAGAAATTAGCCATTGTGTTTTGTCCTCTCCATCAACTTACCAGTCCGATTCTCCTCCCCTCCCCATACTTAATTCTTTACATGTGAAATCACACAGATAGAAGAAAATACCACCTTATAGGGTGCTGTCTTCACTCATATGGTATAAAAAATTTGAGACTGGTCTGTTTATGTAAGCTTCAAAGAGATGTAACAAGTCACAGGGAGGGAAATAAGGGAAGAGGATGGTTGTTTCTCCTCCACTCCTGTTTGCTCTCAAAGGATGGAAAAGCAGGGTAGACACTGCTGGGAGTCATCAGTGGTAGTATTTGGTGAAGTCTGGGATTCCCAAAGCTGAATGTTTTTGGTACAAGAGGAGTAAGGAACTAGAAGGGTGTGAAAATATACAAATGAGTTGGGGAAGGAGAAATGGTAGCAACAAAGTGAGAGGAGGGAAAAAAGGGATAGAAATGGAAACAAGAAGGTATTTAATACTAAAGAGAGGAAAAGAGAAAGACAAGGGAATACATTATAAAGGGAGAAGAGAGGCTGGAAGATTTGAAGAAAGGAGGCCAGAAAGGAGAAGGTAGAGGTGTGGCATTTCTCTCTGGTGCTTGAATGGGTGAGCTGCTGTTCTAGGAAGGATCAGAGGAGGCAGAAGGCACGTGGAGGGGCTGCTGTGCCCGGAGCACAAGCAGCCAACCCTTCCATGCCTGTACTTCCCGTGTCAGCCTGCTGGCGTCAATGCAGTGACATCCTCCCCAGACCAGCATAAATAATCACTTGTTCAAATTGGTTTCACTTTAGGGTGCCAAAAGACACGAGTCTTTAACAAGCCTGAACCTAGAAAAGAAAGCTCGTCTGAGAGAAGAAGCTGCTGTGAAGGCCAAAACAGAGTAGCAGAGATATCCATGTTGGCTGGATTTTGAAAATCTAGAAACAATGTTGCAGTAACAGGCCTTATTAAAATGAATGTGGTATGAGTTCCCTAATTCTGCTCTAGAGCTACAAATAAATTTTCTTAAAGAAATGACTTGTCTATATTTTACGGCTTTGATCCAGGTTAAATGCAGCCTCAGCTTTTTTGAGAAAATGAAAGAATGAAAAGTGAGACAACTTACTTGAACTTTAATATTAACTCTTCTTTAGAGAGTCAGGTCCTGTACCTTACTTTAATTCCCATTACCAAAGTGACATCTCCCCAGAAGCCAAATGGTTTCTAGTTCTGCATTTCTCTCTCTTCAGTGTCCTCATTTCTGAAGAGATAATAAGGAGGGCCAGCTGAGCACACTGCCCAGGTGCACGTTGGAGAGCTAACCTCCCCAAATACCCTGGTGTTTCTCAAGAGCCCTGGGAAGCAGCCAGACCACACTATGCCTTTGTCAGGCGTGCTGGAAGACAGAGGCTTTTAGGAGAAGTCTTTGAAAAAGTCCCAGCAAGGTGATGATGGAGGTCTGGCCACAAGTTTCTGAGGATTTTGAAATCCCAGCACTGTGGAGTCGCTTGGGGCCAGCACAGTCACCTCTTCTGCTCCATGGCTTACAATTCCCAACCGGTCCTTTTTCTTCTGCCTTTACACTAAATTTCTCAGTTATGAATATCTATCAAATGCATTTTCTTATTAGTGTTAAAAAATAAGCATTTGCATCTGGTATGTGTCTTACTTACAGTTCGACGAGGGTGCCAGGTTGTCTCACATTTAGGTATGGATGCTGGTTTCTATTTAAGTATTTCATTTATTCTCATGTGCTTCAATAGTATTAACGGATGGCAGGTCCGCATAAACATCCCAACCTGCTGGTTCTCTTCAGAGGGTTATAGCAGATTAAAAAGTAATATATGCAGCTGTTTGGGAATTTGGTTTAATAAAATACTCAGTAAAATGTAATGCACCACTCTACCTACAGCTTCATAATCTATCTGATGATGTTAATTGTGTCTGTCTATATACTTTACAGTACTTTAACCTTAGCTTCATTTTAGATATCAAGCTCTTTGATTTTTATCACGTGCAAATTTATCATCAAAAAGCATTGCTTTGTATACATTTTAGCAGATTAGTTTTTCTTGATTATTTTGGAACATTTATGTTAACGTCTTATCTAAATATGGGTTTTAAATATGGGTAAAATCTAATGTACTTCTTTTTAAAAGTGTATCATCTTTCTTCATAGAACAATACCATTTTTAACTTCTAAAGAAGCATTTTAAAGTGTTGTATCTTGGAGATATATTGTAATAAAATGTATGATTAAGTCAAAGCTCAAAAATGCTACCATGCAGCAAGAATTTATATAATCGTTTCTCATTTTGTGTCAATTCATATTCAGTAACTTATAGTGACTACCTCTTTTTGGGTTAAATATAAATTTCATGACCAGTATTTACGACCTGCCCCTATCTAATCCCACTTCTCCCAGTACCCTCACTTATTAACTAGTAACTCTAGTATCTTATACGCTTCCAACTTGTCAAGCAGATATTTCACGAGCACTATTAAAAGCAACAAGGGCGAAACTCTTCTTTTGTATTCTATAATACACACTTTCAATTAAGTGATCATTGTACTATGTTTTGCTTAATTCCTAGATTATTTTTTCATGTTTATCATGTCTCTATAGGTAAAATGGGCAGAAAACATTTTCCACTTCATATTTCCTGTAAGCCCTATTTGAATAAAGTTAACATGTGAGGCTATGGTTAGATACTTTTAATCAACAAAAATAATAGTATAGGGAATTGACTCCAGAAACTTATTGAAAGCACGCAAGGAATGAAGTTGTGATGGTGGTATAATTCATTGTCATTCATCAAACATTACTTGAGTCTCTCCTATATACAAAAAGTGAGAATACAAAGATAAATAAAACATACTTGACTCTGCAGAGCTCATAGTTTACCAGACACATGGCCCATGAAACCATTACAACACAAATTGGTAAATGATATATTTTGAATTTTATAACAGAAGCTATAGCAAGAAGCAAGAAAACCGAATTCAGCTGTCAGCTGTGGCTGGAGGCAGGCAGCCAGTGATGGTTACACAAAGTGATTTTCTGAACTGAGTCTGTAGCATGGGTAGGTTTAGGTCAGACCTAATGAAAGAGAGCAGCCTCATTCAGACATTGAGCTTGCCCTGAGAATCAGGAGAGGGCAGTCTGACGAGGTAGTGAGAGGTCCTTCAGTAAAATGCCTTTATAATTTTGTTCTGGTTTATTTTTAATTTTTATTTTGATAAAAACTTAAAACTTTTAGATCCTCAGAACAAACACAACCATTGCTTATTTTTCCCAATTTACAAACTTGATTCCATGGACCATTTCACGTCCCATCGTGTAGGCTATCACTTAAAGTGTATGAGTGGCATCTGACATAAATCTCCAATCCACCACCATCCTAGGCTTATTCTCTTAATTCACCTGATCGCCCAAACCAAATACCTTGGAGTTATTCCAGACTCCCTTGCTCCCCTCATTTAATCAGTCATCCTGTCTTGTGAGCCTTACTTCTAAATTTTTTTCAAATACAGTGATCCTCTAGAATAGTCACTGAGAGGAACAGAATGAGAATCTGCTCAAGGACAGACACGAGAGATTAATAACAGACCTTAAGATTAAAGTCAGAAGCCCTGGGATCTAGACTTGCTTTTCCAACGGTGTTGCTTTGCAAATTGAGGTTATAGGTCTTAAAATCTTGTAATTCCAGGCAATGTTTTTTAAAAAATACAAAACCATGCCAGAATTGAGAGGAAACCATCTTTTAAAATACCTAACCTTTTTTTTTTTTTTTTTTTTGGCCAATCTGACTCTACTACTTGATTTCTAAAGGGTTTAGTAATTACTCATCCACAATTTAACTGTTTTGTCATTTCCTAATGCTGCTGATGCAATGATGTTTTCTGTAGGATGACAAGCTGCTGAGATTACGACATCTGTATGGCCTTGTAATTTCTGTACAATCTCTTTAGTCTGAAGGTTCCAAATATAAACCAGGTTATCCTCTGAACCAGACACAATCCACTTTCCACCAGTAACTGAAAAACTGGCAAATATGCAGTATTTCTCGTTCTTGTGACCAGTATATGTCTTCAGGCATCTGCCTCTGCTATAATCCCATAGTTTAAGAGTATTGTCCAAAGTTGCAATGAGAATATATTTACCATTTGGAGAAAATTTTACAAAAGAGACAGGAGGGTTATCATCATCAACAAGTGTTTTTAAACACTGACCTGATGCAGCATCCCAGATTCGACAGACACCATCATAGCTACCTGACACTATCAAGGACCCGCTACAATTAAAATGAACAGCAGAAACTGGGTCAGAATGAGCAGACAAAGTCTTGAGGCACTTTCCTGTTTTCTCCTCCCATATTTTCATGCTCTCATCAAAAGATCCTGAAATGATGAGGTTAGATGGTGGATTGAAATTACAGCAAAAAACATAATCACTGTGCCCCGTAAGCGTTTTCAAACATTTTCCAGATCTCACATCCCAAATCTTTAGAGTTTTATCATCTGAGGCAGAAACAAGACGACCGGAATCTGATGACCAGGCAACATCTGATATTTCCAGATTGTGTCCTTTAAGTGTTTTCTCATTTTTTCCATCATAGGCTCCCCAAATTATAATTACTTTATCAGCAGAAGAACTTGCCAGCCATTCTCCATTAGGACTAAACTTAACTGATGATACTGCTTCCGTATGTCCCACCAGAGTAAATTTCAGAGCATAGTTTGGTTTTTCAGACACACAATTGCTCGGATTGGCTGATGAGGAGAGAGCCGACTCTGCTTTGGCACCTCCTGACTCCTTTGTAGTCATGACTCTGAAGCTCCAAGTCTGTAGGCTGGCTAGATGTCCGGTCCTGAACCAGGCAGCCAGTATTTTGGCCCTTCTGTCCAGTAAAATGAAGATAAAAAACATCGGACTCAAAAAACAAAAAATCAACAAACTAAAAAACGGTCTTTTAGTGTCAATAATTTCTGGATCGTTTTTAAACTGCAATATACACTGATACAGCAGCACGGCTTGGACCGCTTCAGTTTTTCCTCGCTTCTTCCTCTGTAAACAAATACTTGAGAAATACTATTAAAAGGGTCCTGTGCGCTGTCGGCAAGTAAGGTATTACTGCTGGGTATTCTGCGAATGTATAAAGCGGTCCAAAGCTGCACGCGGAGGGGTGGGGCGAGGGGGGTGGGGCGAGGGGGGGTGGGAATCTACAGAAAGTACTTCTCACCGCTCCTCCCCCCAGCTCTGAAATGTTTGAGACTACTGAGCACCCCTACCCGCCAGACTTTAGGTACTCTACTTGAGCATGAATGAATCACCGCTTTAAACAGATTTCAGAAGCTAAGTGAAAACCTGCGTGGGCTCGGTTCCCTGAGGTCCAGGCCTGCGTCTCACTCTCCACACCGCTCCGTAGCGAACTAACGCGAGGGCAGCACAGCCGGGCGCATGCGCAGAGGGTGCCCTTCCACCACCACTTCCGAACCGAGGTGACTTGTGGGGGAAGCCCGCTTGCGCTTGCGCAAAAGAAAGTCCCGAGGTTTTCTTCCGGCATTCTGCACCCTCGCCCTCCAGGCGCGAGCAGTTTGCTGCGTTCTTGGGCAAGAGGGAAAGTGAACAAGCCTTCTTCCAGACCTCACTGGCTAGCGTGGGAAGCAGTGAGTATTTCGAAGAACATTCATTACTTTTTGGAAACCGTGTGACGAGAACGGACTGAATTTTGCGATGCCCGTAGCTGCAGGGTTAAGCCCCCATTTGGATGTAAGGCGCTCAGACCGCGCGTTTCTTAGCAGACCGGGGCCCACCCAGCTTCGATGACTCTGCGTAAGCTCCGGTTGCACAGGTGGCTTTCATTCTGTTCTCCACCTGCTGTGGTGTAGAGCCTGGTGGGGGGTACGAAAGGCTGCAAGTAGGCGAGGGGGACGTAGCTAAATTTACGCCCAGATTGTAAGACTTCTGATTTAAAAAGTGTTCCCTAAACGTTTCGGGAAGGATAAAGAATATGTGTTAGGGGCCTTTAAAGGCCAGTGCTCAGGTAGCCCGACATGGTAGTGCCGGGGGAAATGAGCAGACGTTTGTCTTAGCACTTCCTTATGGTTTAAATTTTCCAAAGACAAGGAAAGTTCAGATCTGCATAGGTGTTTGGAACGGAAAAGGTGGAATGGGGTAAGAAATGTGTAAGGTTACTCGTAACTAGGCTTTAGCCAGCCCTCCCTACTTTTAAGAAATGATTAGTGGCTGTGAAGTACGTGAAGGATAGATGCTTTTCAGGTGTAAATTACTCTTTAAACAAGAATAAGTTTACCAAAAATGGAAGCCTGACTATTTTCTCCAATCCTGTATAGTCTGTCCCTTGGTATCTACAGGGAATTGGTTCCACGACACCCTGCCCCCCGCCCCGCCCCACATCATACCAAAATCCACTGGACGCTCAAGTCTTTTGTATAAAATGCTGGAGTATTTTCATATAACCTACTCACATCCTTCCCTATACTTTAAATCATCTCTAGATTACTTACAATACCTAATACAAATGCTATGTACATAGTTGTCAGGATGAAGCAAATTCAAGTTTTGCTTTTTGGAACTTTCAGGATTTGGGGGGGAAGATTTTTGATCTGTGGTTGGTTGAATGTAAGGATGTGTAACCCACATATGGGGAGAGTCGATCGTAATTGCTCAATAAAGAGTGCCCAAGAGAGGCTGTTAGTGTTGTTTGAAAGGTTTTTCTGGTAGCCAGTTGAAGTGAAGAGGCAAATGTGTCTCATGATGTTTTCTGTCAGTCACCAATTAAAGCATTTGGAAATAAAGGGTCTCCTGTCCTATACATACTGGGGATAATTTAAAGTCTTGCTTTTATAAGGCACAACAGCATAATTAGATCACCTAGAATAAACTAGTAAAAACCTCATTCCTTAAAGACCCTACTACTCTAGTTTGGAATGTAGACAGGAATTGACTTAGCTAGTGCAAATTAACAGTATAAACACAATGTGGTGCTGAGAATGGGAAGAGCATCTTTAAAGTGGTTTGAAGCATCCATTTTTATACATTATCTTAATCTGATTAAACTCCACCTCCTCCCTCTCCTTTCCTCCTCCCATTTGCCAGGGTTAGAGTGATTTTTACTGGGAAGCTTAGAAACACTCTAAGTAACTCATTAAAAAATAAATTTAAAAGCACTTCACAGAACATAGGTTTTGTTTCAAAGAATATAAGTAAATCTGTATTTTTCCAACACAGAGTAAAGAAAGGCAATTAGA